GACTCCTTCAACAAAAGGATACAATGCATGATTCTCTTCTGACACGAAATTATTGAACGAAGGGATTTTTCAAAAGAAAACACAAACCCTTGAAACGTGTATAACCGTGTTACCGAATTCTTCTATCTCCATCTTCTTCTTCTTCTTCTTCTTCTTATTATTATTATTATTATTATTATTCTTAATATTTTCTTCCTATATTTTTTTGTATCTGTTAATTTATTATTTCACATAAAATTATGTTATAACATAAAAAGAAAAAAACTATAATTAAAACTCACGCTTGCTTAGATCTTTACCTACTTCGTTAACTTTGTTAAAGGAATACGAACGACGACGAATAGAAAGAGAGAGAGAAGAAACATAAAACGTATACATATAAATATATCTATATATATATATAATATCTACGGTATAAAGAGAAATTTTCTATTCCTCGTAAAAAAAGATTCCATACTCGTGTGGTAATTAGATAGACGGCCGTGAAAGCACAATTGTTTTCGAACAAATAGAGGCTAATTAGAAGAGGTTAAACGACGATTATTCGTATTCATGAGAAAGAAACGCGTATTATAGAAGGTCGGTTTGTAAAAAGGGAAATCAAAATTCCCCATGGCATCCCCTGCCCTCTTTCTGCTAACTCTTCTGGCTCATTCAACGTTATTATCGTTCTATAAATGGTAGTAAGCCAAATAACGAAGGAAGGAAAAATGTGTTAATTGATGGTAACGGGGTAGTGCACTCAGTTAACGGCTCACGATCCAATAACCCATTTACCATCTCCCGTGAGACGAAAAAAAAATCTCAATTTCATCAGACGTTTATATGCATTTCCACTCTGAATCTCCGACGATCTGCTGCTTATGCGAACCACCTGACATGAGCCTTCGCGAATATGGGAGTACTCGCGCGCGCGCAAACGCGTGCTATGTTTCTATAATACTTATCTCTATCTAGTGCACAAACCAACTACCCAACGACGGCCTTTCCCACCTCACGCATCAACAATTAGCCGGTGCATTTGATACAAATACACTTGGATCTTAATTAACGACGTGTAATTTATAACGTATGTATATGTATACCATGTGTATACACCACCAATAGGATAATATCCTATATAGATGTATATTATAATGACTTTATAAGAAGTTAGCTAACCTTTTTCGTATCTAACGATCATTTCTATCTCTTTCTCTTTCAATTTCTTTTCTTTTCTTTTCTTTTCTTTTCTTTTTTGTGTTTTATGTTGATTACTTGGAATAATTATAAAGAGGCGGCGGCAGCGGCAGTGGCTTTCGCGAATGGATGAATTTAAATTCAAAACTGTTCCGAGTAATTTGTTTTTTAATAAAAAGAAATCAATAAAATAATAATTATCGTTCGTTTGCGAATTTTTATATTGAAACGATCACGTTCAATAGGTTTTCAATATTACTTTGTGGCCAATATCGTTAAATGAATTATTTATTGCTACACTTCTCGAATATCTATTTTTAAATTGCACTTTTAAATGCCTACCATGGTTCGTAACATTTTATTTCAAGTTGCTTATTGCGTTTACTTCCTTCTCGTAATTTTATTAACAAGCCTTCTCTCTCCTTTGACGCGAATATTTATTTCGATGACCCAAAAAAAAGAAAAAAAAAAGAAAAGAAACATCTTGGAAGAGAACCCCGGGTCTGTACTTATCGACGTTATTTCGTTGAACGACAAAGACCACTACCGTCTTGCAAATTTTTACCGTCTGCCCTCTTTTATATCCTACAACGTACGAATACGTTTATATTTTTTTTTTCATACATTTTATGTTAATTCGTATAAATACGTAAGAATTTATATAAAAAAACACACACCACACCAGGTATAATTCGGGAAACGATTAACAGTTAAATTTATTCCCAATTACTTAAGATTATTTCTTATATAATATGAGATTTATATTTGCAATTATTGATAATAAGTATAATTACGGTAAAATATATATATATATATATACGGAAATTTTATTAAATCAAATGTAACAGTGGTTATATAAGTCGTATTAACTTTTACGACACATTTTTTATTAACACAAAAACAAAAAATCAGATATTTTCAATACTTTTATATTACTATTGTATATATATGATAAACTAATTTTTCATTATATTTTAGATTTAAAATATCAATAATCACAATGAAAGGGTTCGTATATCAACGGAGAAAACGTTGAAGAAAAGAATAAAAGGAAAAGGATAATGTAAAAAAAAGATGGGAAAGAAGAACGGTTAATAAGTGACACACGTCCTTGCGGTTTCTCAGGATTGTAACGAAGGATAAACTCGACCGCAGTGTACAACTCTTTCCCGATTCTTCTTTGCCAGTGACCTCGTTTGAGGTCTCGATGTGAAAAGTAAGTCATTAAAATACAAATGTTCAACGTGATCTCTACGATCAATCTTCGGGTTACCGACGAAAGGGAATTCGATCGAAGGGAAACGAATCACATATTCTATACAAAGTTACGTAATTATTTTTGCACGTTTAAATAATATAATTAATATTTGAGACCAAAAAAATATCATCTCAAACGAGAGAGAACAAAATCATTCCTTCCGACGCGTTTGAATTTATGAACATAAATCCATTGTAAAATGATAATAAAATTTAACATAAAAATTATCGAATAGTAATTACAAATATGGAATAATTTTAAATAGACACAAGAAAATTTATTTGGATATTGATTAGGTATTAATTATTTGTATTAATTCATTTCAATTCTGATACTTTCAATTGTTTCGATGACAATCAATTGGTATTAAAACACGATTTTCGGATTTCCCATCGCAGTATATTTACTTTGATTTAATACCAATAATCGAAATTCATCGAAGTTTGCTATTCAATACGATAGCAGTAGAATAGATCTGGAACAAAATACAAATGGCAGTCCTGGTTTTCTTCGGTTGGCAGTAAATCTTGATTCAATCTCGTGTTATATCACGAGTTCAAAGTGGAATCCGTGGGCGTTTCCTACATTTTTATATGCACGGAACAGTAAACTCCCGAGCGTCTACTTTGTATTAAACTTTCCTCGTCCTGGTTAATACTATCTGCTGTTAACTTGGCACGTAAATGTTTGCACGTTCTAAACAACTATTAAATATCTATTTGTCGGATATATTCAAAGGTATCGTCAAATTTTATTTCAACGATCTTCCTTCTATCTTCAACATTTTTTCTATCCTTTAATCATTCGATTATCAATTTTCTTGATAACCAATTAACGAGAAATAAAAATACAAAAAAAAATTTATCAATTGTTTCAAAACGTAACCATAAGTAAATGTTCATCATTCGTCTAATATTTTAATAAACGACATACTGACTTCTACAAAATATTGCCAAGACTATTGTAAAAAAAAAAAAAGTACCATAACAAATATTGATACGGTTATTTCCATTTTCTTTTTTTTGTTGTTGTTGTTAAAATGAATCTTTCGAATTCTTTTTCGAATTGATTATTATCTTTGTCTTATTTTGTTAACCTCTTTACATTATTTGTCAACGTTCAATGATATTATAACGGAATTATATTGATACAAATCATATCGTATAATGATCGATAATTAAGAAAAATTGAACGGTCGAAAGATCGTTCTGAATATTGGTTTTTAAATGACATGACGCATGTTTAAGATGCGTGAGCAAGAAAAATATATGAGAAAAACAAAACGGGGAGGAGAACTTAGGGGACCTAGACGGAGGTAACACCGACAGGTAGACGGCAACAAGAGATGAGGCCGACGGCCTCGCACTGTTCTCCAAGAGGTCGACCCACTTTGAAGACGAGAGGGACCGTACTGGTAGACAGTTGGGTACATACGTGTACGGTGCACACCGTACGTACGTAAATATATCCACCCTCCTCTCCCCTACTTCTTCTTCCTCATATCTTCTTCTTCCTCTTCTTTTTATTTTTTTTATTTTTCTTTTTCTTTATTTCATTTTATCTTTATTGGATCATATATGATGCTCACGTATACTACTACTCGTTTCTTATTATTCAGATTTTTCTTTATTATTTTTTTCAACATGACGTTTCATTTCGTTTTATATTTTGACTATTACTAAATATTCAATTAATTTAAAAAGCTTTATATATCGTATCATATATATACTTTTGATTTGTTCGTTATATTAAACACGACATTTGATTTCATATATCGGTACGGATACTTTACATAAAAAAAATTACTCTAATAAGCGAAAGATAAATTTTAAATAATGAGAATATTATCTCATCTTTATATTGGATGATATATTAAAGATTCATACGCGTTACACGCATTTCTTACATAATTTCTGTTCCATTTTATTATAATAACGACAATTCATTTGGTCTCACGACGATATTAAAAAAGAAAAAAAAAACAAACTTAAAATAGCATCAGGAGCATCAAAAGATGAAATAGCTGCCCCCCTCTCTAAAAAGAAAGAAAGAGAAAGAAAGAAAGAAAGAAACACTATCTCTTTTTTTGGTTTATCTTTATTGGATCGTGCACGTGTATAAAGTTCACGTGTGCTACTTGTTACTTCTATAAGATATCTTCATTATTTCTCAACCACGTGACATTTCATTTTGTCAATTCCCTGAAAAGATATCTAAAATTAATCGAATAATCAAAAGATCAAATTTAAATTCAGAAATAAAAAAAAAAAGGAAAAGATTAGAATAACAGGAATTCTAAGGAAAGAATGTATTTCGAAATAATGTTCATTTTGAAAAAGGTTTCAGTCGAGATAAGTTAAAAAAAAAAGAGAAAAACAATAACATTGAGACATAAAATCGGATGATATATCGGCGGGGGAGACGGACACGTGGTTTCTGCAATAGAACACGAATAACCAGCAACACGTAGGAAGGTGTCCCCTACTACAGGTCTCCTTTGAAGCTTGCTTTCATCGTCTCCATGCTGAACGCAATGAGGCGAACCTCAAAGCGCGACCGGTAGTCGAGCAGCGTGCACGTGCTACCTGAACGAACGAACGAAACGAACGAAACGAAACGAACGAAAGAAGAAACGAACGGTGATCTTAAGATCAAGCAAGCAAGATCTACACGTTGTCCTTTTATCATCCCCCCATCATCAACCCATTTCATTCCAATCAATTCCCACCACGATCCCCACTCGTTTCGATCCGAATTCTCGGTGACAATATCAAATGAATTTGTGTTACGAATTTGAATCGTGTATTTTAAAGAAACTTGGCCCTTTCCAATTCATTATATAATTTTCATTTTCATTGACAAATTTTCTCTAATACAAGAAAAAACAGTGTCTCGGAAAACAGTAAGGAGCCTCGGTTTGTGGTTTGTTGCTTTTTTTTGTTCTCTGTTTACGTTGAAAATTTGTCAAGGATAGAGAGGGAAAAAGAAGTTTGATTTCGGGTCGACCAATAGTGTCACTTGGGATACTCGTGTGAATTTGAGATTCTATGTCTTTTGACATTAATTGAGAATTAATATGATCAGATGTATTGAATGAACGAATACGAAGCCGACTGTATCCGCGAGGAAGGATCGGCATCTAATCGGTAAGTATTTATTGTTGATTTTTTTTTTTTTTAAACACGTTTATAAATAGTTGTTAAGATTGGACAACTTTTACGTGTTTTCTAAAATGTCGAAGAAAAAAAATGGAATAGGCTACCGATTATATCGCTAATATACTGCTTGAAAGTATTCAACGGTAAGATACACAAAAAGTAAGAACAAAATTGACAGGGGAAGGTGTAAACGTCGATGGTTCATAAATCCAAGATGATATATTATATATTCTTATTCTATAATATTCAAATTTTATCATATTTTACAATCGTATAAATAACACACATCTATAAATATATATAATTATTATTATTATTTTTTTTCTTTCAAATCAAATTCAAACCGATCATATTTAATGAAATTATTCTTATCGAATTTTTGTACGATACGAATGATGTTCGAAAAAAATGCAAATTATTTGTATACAAACTAATTTGAATATTTCAGACGAATTAATCACAACCGAAAGTATATATTTCGTAATTAACAACAAACGTTTTGGCACGTTAACCGTGAAATTATTAAAATGTAGAATTATAAATATAGAAAACGTTATAAATGATTATAGGTTTTAAATTGTACTGCACGTGCGACTACTCTCTAATTAACAGAGTTAAAAGGTTAAGGGCCCGACGGTACGATTTCGAGACACAGTACCCTCAATATCAGTGAACTTTCGCCGAGTAACATTAAATGTTCTCGAGTAATCATTATCATCATTATCATCAACGTAAAAACGATCGTTTCTCGTTAATAAAACTAATAATAAAGATATAATAAATCAGTATATAGTTATATATAAAAACAATAATACATTTTAAACTAATCTCATTATTTCTTCTATCGAAAAAAAGAAAACAAAAACTTTCTCGAAAAAGATTAATTCTAAAAGTTTATCAAGAAACAATAATTAAACGAAAGAAGAACGATACGAGTGTTGATTCGATTCGTTTCGTTTAGTTTCGTTTCGTATCGCAGGTTTTCACGTTTATCCTTTTAAACTCTGATAATTGGAATCGTCTAGTAGGATCGGTCCGAGTAATACTTGGGATCGTAATATAGAATAGAATAGAGAGAGAATAGAATAGAATAGAATAGAATAGAATAGAAGGGAAGAAAACAAAAAGAAATAGTAATAGAAGTATAAGAAGAAGAAGAAGAAGAAGAATTATTGCTATTAGTCCGAAGGCGAGAAGTAGGCGAGTGGTTAGAGACAAAAGGAGTGTAACCCACTTTACGTTAGATGGTTCGTAATAGAGAATCATAGACAACGACAACGACAACGATGACTATGACGACGTTTGTTTAACTAGAAATTTGGTCCAATGGAGCGATTTAACCAAACGAACATTTCCACTTTTTCTCATTAAACTCAAATCAATCGAACAACAACAGATCAATCGAATATATATATATATATATCTTGTTTTTTTTTTCCAATACACTATTCTGTAAAATATTATCCGGGTTCCCCTACCTCTTCCCCCCACCCTTCTCCCAAGATAATATCTGCAAGGAAATAACCGTGTAAACTAGGTCGAATTGCAAACCTATTCCGAAATGAACGAATCCGTTTACGATCCTATCCGTTCCCACTTTCACTGATTAGTTGCTCGACTACTACTACTACTACTACTACTACTACTACTATCAACCCCCTATCGTATTACTTATACCTTCTTATTCTACTACTACACGATCATTGAAAACAATTTACAATTAAATTACCAGCCACAATTATTATTTCTTTTTTCTTTATTTCAAATTGATTTTTCTTTTTAGACAATTCACGGATATAAATTAATTGATCATTTTTTTTTTCTAATAATCAATAAATTAATGTGAACATTCGTATAAATATTTAGATATATTAATCGATCATATATGATACGTAATATAATTCTTTAGAAAAATATTATTATTCTTTTTGTTGGGGGGGGAGGAGGGGGGGGGATTGTCGAAAGAAAGGAAAGAAGAGATGGAGGGAATGAATTGGACGAAGATGGTGATGATGATGATGATGATGATGATGATGATGAGTAAGAGTTTCGAGCATCGCTATTCCGCTCCAGATTTCGTAACGCGGACGTGCCGATTCGGAACAAATTAGAGACGCTTTTGTTCGCGATGGATTTGGGTCTTTCTTTCTCTCTCTTTCTCTCTCTCATACACTCACACATACACATATACACACACTCGCGAAATCCGTTAGACCGTCTCACCGTCGTCACGGTCCCCGGGCCATAAAAGATTTGTCCTCTATAAAAGGAACGATCATGATCAAGGACGACCAATAGGACTCACTTTTTTTTTTTTTAGTTTGTTTTTTTTCGATGGATTCTATCCGAAAAACCAACCGATCGAAATTAATTAAAGAATTTTAACTAACTCACCCGATCGTACGGTATCGATTTTGATCTCCTTTTCACCACCTAACCCCCACCCTTATCCCCACCCCCAACCAGAGTCCCTTTTCACACGTGGATATATGGTAAAACTGTTTATTGTATTTTCAGTATGTCATATTCTATTCGATCGTTAATTTTAAAATGATCAGAATTTTTCTTTATATTTTTTCTCTTATATTTGTAATTTAATAATATTTTGTTTCTAAGTAAATAACGTTTCATTTGTCTCAATAGAATGATTTATTAATAAACATTGTTTTATCGTGTCTTTTTATTCTTCCTTTTATACAGATACGAATGATTTTTTTTTTTCTAACATCTGTTAGAATCTCTTTTTATCGAATCAATGGTACACGGTTCTTGTTTTTCTTTTTTTTCCGGAACAGATAACCCATTCATTTTAATCAAACGTGGCCCACGTCGACTTGACTTTATTAATCCAACAACGTGATTAGACCTTTGACTAAATAATTGTAATTATTAAAAAAAGAAAGAGAGAGAAAGAGAAAAAAAGAAAAAAAAAGATCGGTAAGCAGTGACATAGTTTGATTTCAATCTAATAGAGAGCAAGTGAAAATTTTTGAAACGTGCTTGATAAACGAACACGGTGCAACGTGTTAGTTATTTAGAGCCAAAAGACGATGTCTCTTTCTTTTCACTTGGCAAAAAGACAGATAGTAATCTTCAAACAACCATAAATGATAAATAATTATTTACGATGATTTTTTTTTTTTTGTAAACAACTTAAATTCAACGATACTTTTATTTTCTTCGATTTGACGTTAATATTCACGCGCAATGCAACTTATATCGAAGGAATATAACTTTAAAATATATATATATGTGAAAAATTGAAGGAAAAAAATATAAAATTATCGGATAAAAATAATCAACGTTTCCGGGATCAATGTCATTGAGAGAAATTTTCTTTCAAGACAAGCGGTTCTTTTCTACTATCACGATGCTCATCTCTACAACGATCTCTCTTCTTCTTCTCCGATACGACGAATAGGAACTCCTATTTTTCTAAGGAAATGAAAGCATTTTTAAACAACTTTCTCTCATAAAAACGTAAATTCTGAGAATCCTTAAACATTTTTCTTATAGAAATTCGATATTCGTTTCAATGAATTCATATTCATCATGCAAATGTTCTATTCCATTTCTGAATATAAAAATCGAAACGTATTTTTTTTTTATATTATATTTCATGGATTTTACGATCGTGAAGATAGATCGTGAAATTTTGTCGAAATAAAATTCTGACAGTATTGTTAAATGCAACGAAATATAAATCGTAAATTTATGAAATTTTATTCGGAATAATTTAACGCGAAATCATTTTTAATAATATTCTCGAACAATTCTTATGGTATTTTTCTTTTGTAAAACCCATTACGTTATTTCTAAAATTGAATGAAAATTAACTAATAGAATGAAATAACAATCTCGTTGTATGCAAAGATCGTTAATATTATTAATTGCATCAACGTTAAATGATGTTGTACCATTCGATATCTACGTAATTATCTCGATTAATTAATGATCGTTTTACAACATGTTAAAGATAAAATGCGAATATGTAAAAAAAAAAAAAAAACAGAAAAAAGTAATTGTTCACAGGATTTTGATTGGCGATCGTTTCGAATGAGAGAACGCGTTTCGCGTTTTTAACGTCGACTATTATTATATTTTATCGGGCCAATGATTTTTAAAATAAAGCCTCTTCGATGCGAACGAAGTTATTTTCCAATTTAATTTACGTCGTAAAACGATGGAATGGAAATGAGACGAACCTTGGATATGACTTACGAGCTTCTTATACGTTCGCAATCGTGTGTACGTATATTAAAAAAAAAGAAAAAAAAAAATTAGAGGCGTTTTGTTCTAATCATAAAAGAGAAAGGAGTTAAGAAAGTACTTCCCACGATCTCGATTGAATATAATACTCGTTGTGTCGTAGCGATACAGTGATTAATATGAAAGTCGTGACGGATCACATACAGTGTTTCATTTAATAACTTCAATGTAATACGTTAGCTATGTGAAAGTAACCTATGAAAATGGTCTGATAAAATCACTCCTATAGAATAATAAACGAATGATTATGCATCGTATTGAAAGAAAAATAAAAAAATATTATATCAATAATTCGAATTATAATTATTTCTTTCGATTAGATTTATCGACGAAATTAGTGCCAATTTTAAATGAAAAATTTTCCATTTGATTTATAAATAAAACAAAACAAAATGTCTCAATTGATTCAGAACAAATGATTGTATTTATTATAATATATCTCGTTTATACTCAATTTCTAACATGGATAAAAAGAAAATAAAACGGAAACGCGCGTAACGAAGTAAGTAGGATCGATAGATTCTAGAAATGGTAAAAGAGACGATGAAGAAGAATAAGAAGAATAAGAATAAGAAGAAGATATTTTTCCTTGGGCGAGAAAATGTGTTTACGTATATATAACGTTGTGCATTCGATGGGCGCCTTTTAAAACAGGCTTTCTCGGCGCCATTAAAATGCGTCGTACGTCGGTGGAAACACCCTTTTCAGCGTGTCACATG